TTGAAGCAAAACATATTAATCTGACGATGTTCCTGTACCACATTATGAAGTAACAGGTCATCCATAACTGTTTTTTTTTTAACAGCATCGGAATTTAATTTACTTGCTTTTGGAGTCGATTCTCAGGTTAATAATCAATTCTGGAATCAACTCCAAACATTTTGGAGTCCAACACCAACAGTTTATGTATACCAGTATTCAAAACTTGAAACTAACAAACTGATAAATGTGACAAAAAAATCTTATGCTATCTCGGACATCCAATCAACAACCACGTTGGTTTATTTGTGTGGAATGAAACCATGACTACGAGCTACACTCCCATATTATTAGCTTATGAATATCATAATATGATTTGTTTGTTTGTTGTTGAAGCACAAAGCTACATAATGAGCTATCTGCTCTCTGGCCACCACTGGTATGGAAACTTGGTTTTTTAGCGTTGTAAGTCATCAAGTTTATCGTTGTGCCACTGGGGGGAGGAAATCATAATATGATAATTAGAGCTTCTCGTTTTCCGTATCTAATGTATATCCACGCTACGATTACTCTGATTAAATGAGGGGATATTACTGCCTGATTTTTTAATGCTTTTAATAAAATGAAATTGTTAAACGTTGCACTTGTGATGTGTAAACACCGTAATTGGCTATTTTATGCTGAATTATTTAAATCTTCTTTAGCTAGCGGTAAAAATAACAAACACACAAAGATAAAAGAATAAATAAAATGGAAGATTAATTAGGTAAGTAAAGGGAATGAAATATTAATTAAACAGCGATTGACTAGTGTTACCTCTCAACTCGGTTCCACTTTACAATAAGGGAAACAGTTAACGTTTTGAAGGGCAATTACCTTGTTTCGTGGTTTACAGATTTCAGATTATTGGCAGTAAAAACACTGATGCTGTTTCCCACTAACTTATTTGTGTATATTGTACATGTAATTTGTATATATTGTACATGTAATTTGTGTATATTGTACATGAATTTTCCTATGTAAATTGTTGTTACAATACCACTTAACAGTAACGATATTTGTACTATAGTTTTAAAAATGTCTTTATTTTTAAATGTGTACTTTCAGATATAATTTATATTCTCCTATAGTCATAGTTGGGCCCGGCATGGCCAGGTGGTTAAGGCGCTCGACTCGCAATCTGAGGGTCGCGGGTTTGAATCCCCGTCACACCAGACATGCTCGCCCTTTCAGCCGTGGGGGCGTTATAATGTGACGGTCAATCCCACTATTCGTTGGTAAAAGAGTAGCCCAAGAGTTGGCGGTGAGTGGTGATGACTAGCTGCCTTCCCTCTAGTCTTACACTGCTAAATTGGGGACGGCTAGCGCAGATAGCCCTCGTGTAGCTTTGCGCGAAATTCAAAAAACAAACAAACAAAACAAACAATAGTCATAGTTGCACGCCCCATACTGACTTTCCGCACCCCTTTGGATGGCACATTTTCGGTGCACCACGTGCTTAGAACAAGACTCTTATCACACGGAGAACAGCTCTAATATTATATGTTGCGATTTCGAGATAATGACTTGTTATATTTCCTGAAAGAAGTGAACCTTGAACAAACCTATTTGTGGGAAAGTTACTTTCATATAGTTTAATTCTTTATATTGTTGCGACAGCGGAAGTCACATGACACTGGTAACACGTAATGAGTATCTCAGAGGTTCCTGAAGGCTCGAGTGTTTGCCAGACGCCCTCTATTTTGTATATATAAGCCGGCAAATAAAGTGACGGATAGATAATTGCAGACAGGCAGAGATAGAGACGGATAATTGAGTCAAGTGCAGTAGTGACCCTAAATAAAATGCGTGAATCGTTGTGAATTATAGCGTGTGTTTAAGTTAAAGTGACTGTGGAAATTAAGTGTATTGCAAAGTTGTATTAAGAAAGAATAAACTAGTTTTATTTAAGAAAGGACTTGTGTTGCTAAAGTTTCATCCGAAAGAAATTATACGGAAAATTAACAAACGACCATATGTATTGTTGTAACGGTTTCTGTTGTTGAGCTAGTTCTCGTGGGTTTTTAAAATATACATAAAAGAATAATGCAAAGTCCAGTTCAGTCAAGGATAACAAAAGTGTTTTAATTCTTTAACAACAAATTCTAAAAATTAGCTTACATAATGAACACTGATATATCAAAGTACACAGTAGTCGCTAATACAACAATTTCCCTTACTTGCTAATAATTCTCTATTCTTGTATTTATGATACTTCGTCGTAAACACAAACTCAAAATTTAGCAAACTGACCCCCCCCCCCCAGTGGCTTAACGGTAAGTCTGAAAGCTCACACCGCTAAAAACTTGGTTTCGATATTCGTAGTGGGCACAGCACAGATAGCCCATTGTCTAACTAACTGATAAACTCAGTAATAATCTTCTTAAGCCTAAATCGTCTTTTATGTTACATAGTTTGTTCTAAAAAACTGAATATAATTTCATACGTTAATGACGTCGAATATTCCTCTGGCCAAACAACAATACGTAATTTTGGAATGAAAAATAGCCTACAACAGTATCTAATAAACTACCGTATTTGCTAATTACTTACTAATTATAAAAGGCTGTAGTTAAAATTTCAGCACAAAACAACATATTACGCAACGAGGGTGTATCTTGTACCAATAAAAAAATTCATAGTATAGCTTGGTAAAGTGTGTGCTAAAAGAATTTAACCAAACAACCTTGTAGCCATCCTGATACTACACGTGCAGTGAAACTTGACAGGTTCAGCATCTCGCATTACGTACACATGTGAGTATCTTAGAAAATGTTTTCTTATGACTGCCTCTTGGGAGCGATGTAACTATAGCATCTCTAGCTGTATGACTAAACCGTGGGAGCAAACATTTATTGGGGAACACTAATCTCAGTAGAAATGTGCTCCAGAAACTGCTTGGATAGAAGTTTTATGGAAGACAGTTTGCAGTGAGTTTATTCGCGCTTTATTAAAAAACTGGTCCCATACATCTCCTGTCTGTAACTACTTTCTTAGTTGTTGATCGTGCTCAGTTTGGTGGCCATGGTACTTCCATCAAAAAACACTGAAGGCTGCTGTCTTCAACGTTTTGTGTCCTTAGGCTCTAAATTATTTAAATATCTAGCTGTTTGAATATTTATTTTTTGGAAAGGTTTGTGTTAAATATATAAATATTGAATCATAAATATAGCGGATAAATGGACAATAATGCGCAGTTAATCAATTATGTAATTGTTTTGTGTTTTTTTTTTCAGCGCAAAGATACATAAATGGGTTATATGTGCTGTGTCCACAATTGGTATCGAAAGCTGATATTTAACGTTATAAACCCTCAGACTTACCTCTGAATCACCGAGGAGGATGACGAAAAAGAAGCTTGTTATGTTGTTAAACGCAATGTTATACAGTGGGTTATTTATTCTCTGCCAACTGTGGTTATCGAAACCTGATCTTTAGCGTTATAATCCTCACACTTACTCCTGAACCATCGGACTTAAATATGTAAATACTAATATGTTGCCTGTGACAATATTACTAGGACCCGCCTATGGGCACCCGCAGGAAGGAGCAAGAAGAGATATGTGCCCCCCCCCCTTACATTTCATAAAAATGCACGTATTTTGATGTAAACTTAACATCGTAGTTAAAACTAAATATTTTTAGTAATTTTTATTAAAACTGTAAATTTGTGTTTGCGTTTAAGCACAAATAACACCTATTATTTTAGTCTGTTGACTTACACTGTAAACGCTGATCTCCTACATACACTTCCCCCCCCCCCCTGAAAATATTTCTGTGAGCGCCCACGGACTCGCCACTCTGTTATCGTATGAGAATCGTTCAAATAAATAAAGTTTGGTCAGCTCTATATTTGTTACAAAGGATGATTTTCACTATTACGTTAGAAAATTCCAACTGTCACTTCATACACGTTGATTGAGTAGGCGAAAATTTAGTTCTAGTATTTGCTAATAAATTCAAGTTGTAACTAGTGGTAACGTATTATTTCTTAACATTTGAAACTGAAGGCATTTTCACACAATAATGAAAAATAATAAAAATGGAACATGGTGAATCCTAGACTTTTGAGAATAACTTTCATATGGAACAGAGCCAAGAAATTTCCCGAAAGGCCTTCTTTATTTACATTAGGAGACGCCACTAAAATATAGATAATTTAACTGGGCTAATGTACGTGCGATGTACTTTATCTATGGAGGTTTCTATAAGAACATTTTTTCTTAGACTTATTTCATTGGGGCGAACAAAGAAAATCTAGAAACAGTCATCCTTGCTTGGATTGACTTATTTGGTGTTTATGATTTTGTTTAAAATCTGATTCATGCGTTTTTGTGGTTTTACAAACTTTTATGTCATACTAACTTTAACATCATAACGCCATTTTTATAACGATTTCTTCATACTGATGGTCACAAATATATTTTTTTGTTATATTAGATTCGTTAGCGTTTTACACGTTTTTTTTTGTTTTGCTTAGATGTGTGTCCGTTAGCAATTTTTATACGCACTTAAGAGACATATTCCTCGACGGTTTTACATGTACTACTCTTGTTTTATACACTGTTTAATTGTTTCTCTAGAAGACTGTTTAACGGTTTGCCTTTCAATAATCTTCCCTGATAAATCAATACATATATAATCACCTTTTCAAAAACAATACACAATCCTGATTTTTTTAATGTTGTTTCTAATAAACATGTAACTTGCATATTTCTCTGTTAGAGAATGATAAAGCTAAACGATATTATCTTGTCCTAGGCCAAATTCAAGGATTTAATTTTCACATAATTGCATAAATATTAAATAAAGTCCTTATTAAGTAATTTCTAAAAGAAGCTTTTGTTAAAGTATATATCGAACTTTTAAATTAAGTCCCAGCAGCAGAACTAATCGTCTGCTAATCTACGAAGCGTTTTTCGCTTATCAGACTCTAAAAGTTCGTTTCTCATTATAACAAAGATGTTTGAAGCATCCAATCACATTTGGTGAATGACCTTTCGGTTGAAATGGGCTCTTCCGAGCTTACGGTCGTAATATGAGCTCGCGCTGAACTTATTCTGACGTGGAGGAAACTCGAACGATGAAGGGTGTAATACTGAGCTTGGTGGTGTGTTGCTGTGTTCAGCTTGTTTTTGTAAGTATTAACAACATCTTCTAGAGACCGTTTTACTTAATCAGAGTAGAGTTTAACAATAATTATTTCTTTTATTAGCCTAATCTAAAAGGTGATACCATTTTTTTGTCCTGTACACTTCCTTAAATAATTATAGATAGAATCTTAAAAAAAAAGAAATAAAACTCCAGTCATTAATCTATAACAATTTTTACTGCGCCAAAGTTACATCCATTAAATTGCTACATTATACATCATAGAAAGGTTAAAAACTCAGTTGGGGATGAAAGAAGCATTTCGTTATATTCCAATGAATAAGAGCATAACGGTTTTAATTTTACTTTTAGTTTATCAGAGGTCTGTTGCAATGGCTCGTAAAATATTAATTCGTTAGCAGCTTCATTATTTAAAAAAGTAATTGTTAAACATAATACATAAAATCATTTACTTTGTTTTTCGTAAATAGTTAAGTTAATGTATTCCATACATTCCGAGATTTTGAAAGTTGCGAATATAGTGTAAAATAATGATAAGAGGCGCTCCTTTGGTAGACAAAAACAAGTGTATATATGTTTGTAAGGGTGGCGCATTACTACCATGCAGGGGTCTGCGCATGCTCACGAGTTTCGTTTATCAGAACTGTCTAGTCTGTTCCTATACTCAACCAGACATCAATGTAGCAGAATGGCTGCGTTTAACTTTGCGTGGGAGTGAGTGGGGCTAGTTATAAGAACATGTCAGTGAAACTAAAGAAGATATTTCAACCACACTAAACTTGCAATAAAAGAGTCAGTGGAAATATTCCACAGTTATAAAAACACAAGCAATTAATGGATTACATTTGCCTGGCTCCTATTCCCCAATGTGAATATGACGTAACTACGACAGTTTTATCGAAGAAGGGCATTGGTTCAATTATCTTGGTTTGTTTTCTGATGTTAGCAATGAATAAATTTACATATGACACTTATCTCTTGGGTTTTTTAAAACAATTTTCTTTATTATATGCTGAAACACGTGAAAATGTTTTAAAATTGGACAGTAACGTTAACTATTCACTAGTTAATTAGTGGGAGAAAAAAGCAAGAATTTGCTGTGATTGTTTCGAATGGTTTAATGAAACAGGATGTGCGTGGGTTTGGTTTTATATACTTTATAATTTCAAATTTCTGTGTACGTTGTGGTTTCTTTGTTTGTTTGTTGCATTTCGCGTTTAATTACTTGAGGACTATCAAATTTTGAAGTGATAGGTTAAAGGGAAGACAACTAGTCAACACCACCCGGCGCCAATTATTCGACTATTTTACCAACGAATAATGGAATTGACCGTCACATTATAACGTCGTCACAGCTGAAAGGGCGAACATTTTCAACGACAAGAGTTAAACATGCGACTCACAGATTGCGAGTCAAGTGCCCTAACCCATAACCACCAGGTCATGTCAGTCTGTATATGGTGGAAAACAAAAACTGTAATTAACTAAGCTTTCGAAGAACATTTAGGCCTTGAAGGTATCAAAGTTAATTAAATTCAAAAGCAATAATACAATAATAGCCACATATAGTTATAAACTATATTTTTAATGTTGTAATTTGGACGTTAGCTAGAGGGCGCCTCACGTTTGGGAAAATTAATGAACGAAAAGCTTTGCAAATTATTTAGAACGTGGGTAGATTAAAAATACAGGGTCAGCGAAGCATCGAGAGGATAGTTGAGGGATAGTTAAGATAGTTTTATCAGCCGGTGTGTTTTCTGAAGTATTTGGATCTGTGTTTGCTATAGCGTTTAATGAGTTACTTTGTAAAAATAAGTTGATTTTGCGTTATTGCTAGTATTGTTAGAGGTTTGAGCGTCATTTGTAACTAGGCCTTTAATAATTTACCAAAGTTTACAAATGTCCAAGCTTGTAAGAGACGTTAAAGAAGGAAATATACTACTTTCTGATAGTTATGTAGACTGGACGTTGACTTATTTTACATCAGACAATTGAAAATAACCTGCCAACAAAAGAATAACGCTACAAAACTTTGTGTCAAAAGCAGGGTATTACTTTGGCAAAACTAAAATAGAATTTTAACTAAACTTCAACCTTAGTTCGAGATTAGCACAAATGCACAGAATGAGATAGGAAGCCTGCTAGACATGATTGAACAATGGAAAGAAGAACACAGAGAAAGATACAGAGCATTAAAAAAGAATAAGAAGAAAGAGATAGAAAATTAAAAGAACAGCAGAAAGAATGGGACAGGAAATTAGAAGAAAGAGAAAATAGAATAAAAGAACAGCAGGAAGAACGGGACAGAAAATTAAAAAAGAGCAGGAAGAATAGGACAATAATTAAAGAAAGACCACTACTTTGGTATTGGCATACCCAACTCTGGAACATATAATTATTTCAGATACAAATATCAGTGATTTTGCAGTTTTGTTACAAGTAAGTATCTGGTATGGAATTGTGGCTGCTTACTATAGCAAGACTATGAATGTCATAGAAAGAGGGATTATACAACTTCAAAGGAGCTACTAAGTGTTATTCGAGCTCTGAATCGCCTCCATTATTATCTTTATGGATTTTACACTCCAGATAGATAAGGTGGCTTTTAAGTGGCTGGTGAATTTTCATAATCCAGAAGACCAAACAGCAAGATGGCTCCAAAAACTCCAGAAGTAGAACTTTAACATCGCACCTTGCTCTGGATGGAATAATGGAAATACTGGTACATTATTCCAAAGACTGTATATTAATGAAGAGTGTAATCACTGTGACAAGAAAAAAACATGGGATATAAAAAAGACCAACATAAAGTACAACAAAATATAGTCCAAGATGTGATCTTTGTCAGTGATGACGAATAACTGAAACCAATTATTCAATGGCTCAATAACAGTGCAGAAGGACCCTCATGGCAAAGAGATGTTCCATGCAGTCCTAAAACAAATGTATTTAAGGCACAGTGGGATTCCTCACTGAAAATAATACTATATACAGTCCACTTGTCATAAACGAATTAATTTATTTCTTCAATAGTGTTATGTATATACAGGCTGCATTCACTGGTAGACCTAACATCACAAACACCGTTTCAAAAGATAATCCGAAACTAAGTACACCTAACTCACAAATATAGCTCAAGCTACTTGCATTTTTTTCTCTAAGCGCCCGACAACAAACACGCTGACAGACTCACCGAATAACGAGCTAACTGAACGACTAAATTAATCACGAATATACGAATATACTAACCAAATCACTGACGAACAAACTCTTACTAACTCACTAAAACGTTTATTGACAAACTAACTGATTACTTCTCTCTTATCTGGTGTTTTTACAATGTACACTATTTCTCGAACATTTGAGATACCACAAAGAGCTAAAACATTCATGAAGCTATTAAACTTCAGACAATTATTACATCATGTGATTGAACTTATAAATAAGAATGATAAAAATACAACTTACAGCAGAATGGACTATTTCCAATATGCCCACCAAAGGGATAGAACCCTAATTTAGAGTTAACAAACAGTGCTTTTAAAATACATTTTAATAAAACTCAAAAGCCAGAAAGTTATACAAATTAGTAAAAACCTTACCATTCCTTTACAAGACACATAAGGCCAATGCTTTCGAACCCCGACTCTACTGATACAAGCGGATGAGAATAGTGACCTATTCCCACCTTAGATTGGATGCCAGTCCACCGCAGATAAATCCCCAGCTAAGTACCCATCATATAGCTGGGTATACTGGAAAAAGTGAGGTAAAGTATCTTTCTCAAGGACACAATAGCATAACGCGGGCTAGTCTCGAACTACCCACCCATCCAACTACGAGTCCAAAGCGTGAAGCCATTAAGCCACGCTACTATATAAATATTAAATATAATTTATTTTTAATTTTTTTCTTTTGCTTATACAATAATCTTAGCAAATTTGTGTCAAATTTTGTGCAATTTCATACTGTATTTTGTGTAACCCAAGACCAGGGTTTGTTAATTCGACTTAGATGTTTTCATCTGTAATTTTTGAACTAAGTGTTTGTAATTCAGCACAAAGCTACACAATCAGCTATCTATACTCTGCCCAGCACGGGTATAGAAACCCTGATTTTATCGTTGTAAGTCCGCAGACATTCCGCTCTGCCACTGGGGGGGGGGGGGTGTATTGCCTTCTACCACTGGTGGGTCCAAAGGCCCATGGTTCCCCAAACGAAAGTAACAAAAAAAAATGTCATGGTTCGTTTGTACGATTTCTCATACGATTTCGGCGCCATCTTTTCAAAACACTAACTCTGGATCTTCCACTGCCTTCTATAATGCCCCTTGAACGCTGTGTGTCCCAGGAAAAGTTCCCCGGCCTCCCTGCCCTTTCCATGGACGTGGTCCTGATAAAGTAGTCAGTCAATGTTAAAATAAATTTATAATAGTTTACCTTTTATTCTGTACGTTATAACATCTTAACACAACAAAATGTTGAGTTTTTCTTTGTTTATGACAGATCATTAAGGTAATCTGCCGCCGTCCTAAACTTCCAACAGTCGACCTCAAAGAAGGAAGTCAGAAGGCAGCACCAACTCTTGGGCTACTCTTTGCTAATAGTAGGAATGATCGTCACATTTGCCCTTAGTGGCTCAGGGGCACGTTTTCATGGCTAAAGTTAATGATTTTTCTCGAAAGAAAGTGAAATGCTGGCCTGGTAATTGAGAATGTAATAAATTGTATACAACAGGGTTTTCACTTAGTTTATATATGTATATATAGTCAATCAAAGCCGAATATTTAAAAATTTTAAAAAGCATTTAACATAATTTCATTCAGGCACTCTTCTCAAACTGCTGTTTAGCCTCTCGTATTGGCTGGAACAACCCTAATCACCTGCGTTCCATCTATGCCCAAGAAAAATTCACTGGGCTTTGCACTATAATTTGTCAGTTTACCAAACAGAAGACCAGGAAAGTGAACCTTTAACTGGCACAATTAATTAAGTAATAAATGTATGTGTTGTTGACCTTCCCTTGGCAACAGAAACAGTAAAGAAAAAATATACAAATGTTAATTTAACGGTTAAAACTTTGTATATATATATATGTATAAAAGTTTGACTTGTATACAACACTGCATGTTTTCGAGCAAAAATGGCGTGTCGTTTCTTCATAAATCATATTTGTGCATGAAATGCGTAGTCTTTTTTTTTTTTTACATTTTCGTTTTATTTCTCCGCTTTCATTTCCGACTTCTGGGTTGTTTAACATGAGACTAACTTATATAAAACATTACATTTACAAAAAATAAATAAATTAGGATAATAAAAAAATAGAGTAAAAAATCTTTGCATTACAATGGCTAAAAAAATATCTATTTATGAAAACAGGTTGGACAACTATTTCACAATTATCTTCAAATCTTCTGGTGATGGGAGTTGGTGTTATGCTTTAGAACTGTTTATAAATCAGTAGTTTGATTTTTCATACAGGTTGAGTTAATTGCTCCGGAGACCAGAATTAGTACTGTATCACGATTGCTGGGCGGAAGAAAGCGATTCACAGTGGGCGAGTTATACTTCCGGTATTCAGTTGTTTTATAATATTTATATATCTTTCTAACTGATAATAACTGACAGCTTTCATTTTAACGAAAAACAAAACAAAAATATTTAATAATAAAAATAATAATATTTTTTAAATTATAAAGTCATTTAAAATCTGATAAGTTTTTCACTATCAGTATCACACGATACGTATTAGAAAATTCATCGTAGCACAACTGTACGTGTTATGTCAAACAGATACAGGTGAGTAGATGCCGGTATTCGTGATTTATAGCTTCGAAAGTACTACAGTCCAAATTAAATATGCTTAACTTTTTACTCTTCTACAGTCACTAATTTGTAAAAAGAAAATTTCAACGAGGCTTGGTTTATAATTCAACAATCTTAAGTCTCAAACCCAGTACTGAATGTTATAAGCAATTCATATTCAACTTTCAAGTAATAACTAGTCTAATATAGCCAAGCGAAGCCTTAGTACGAAACGATTTAAAACCTCAAACTTGTAGTTAGGTTTAACAAATTACTTGATTTACATGTTGATAAGTGACTGACCAACTTATTTGCTTAGTATGATGGAATAACTTTTATTCTTGCAGGGAGAAGGGGAAATTATTACTGATAAAGTATCCTTTGAAATTTCCATTGATGGTGACCCCGCTGGTACTATTGTCATTGGCTTGTTTGGAAAAACTGTACCCAAAACTGTGGCAAACTTTAAGACTTTTGCTGGAAGTGGCTACAAAGGATACAAATATGAAGGTTCTAAGTTTCATAGAGTTATCAAAGATTTCATGATACAAGGTATACCTTTTGAGGCTTATTATCATGTTACCTGCTTTTTTTCTAAGTTAAATGTCTCAAACTGCTACATTTCACATTTGGAATAAATCTGTTTGATAGTTTTTGTAAATTGTTTGTTCCACTGTATGTCAAAATTTGTGGTTATTGGTCGACTAGAAGTAAGTAAATAACACAAAGATTAACTAATGTACAACTTGTTTACTGTTGATTATATTTAAAATAATTACTAAGAATTTAATGAATCAATCGATAAATCGACAATTTTCTATCACTGTTTCTGGCACCTCAAAGGTAAAACGATAAGGATAATTTTTTGTATCTAACACGTCTGATAAAGCTCTATAACAAGGCAACAAAATCTTATTATGAAACATTTAAATAGAAAATAATAGTATATGTTGTAGGCTATGTTTTTTATTTAAATATATATATATATTTGGTTCTAGGGAGTTTTAAATCACATGATGAACATGTGGCTTTATGCCTAGAACTTATCTAAAAAGTAGGAACTTATTGGAACTATATAAAAAGTGAGATAAGCTAAAGTAGTGGTTTTCAACCTTTTTTTTCAACTGAGATCAGCTAGATCTGATTCCAAAATTTCACAGGCTACTTCTTACAATAATAACTTTTAAAAGTACTTTTAAATTAAATCGTAAAACAGTATACAAAACAGCTCTACACTAAACCAACATCCCTGACATTTAGAGCCACTGAGCTTGGGTATATTTATTATAGATTCTAGATTGATTACTCAGTTAGTAAGTTTGTTAGTTGTCTTTTTTTACTTCAGTTTTGTGAATACTGAGTTTGTTTTTAAGGAAGCTAGAAATACCAGAAGTACTTCTCTCTGAATGAGACAATTAGCAAATAAATTTAATGACAAGGAACCCAGTTTTTAGAAAATAAGGTTTGGAGAAAGCATGAATGGGTAGTGAAAGAAACAAATGTACAACATATTTATGACCCAGTTTGAAACACAAGCCATACAATCCACACTTTATGACATTTCGCTGGTTTCACTTCAACCAAACACACACACTTTCTTTGAACACAAACTCCATTTGCCCCAACATTAAATTCACCATTAAACACAAAAATAACAAGCAGTTATATTTTCTTAATCTTAACACTATTAGATCTGATACACAAAATTCACCAAAAAATTACTCACACAGGTCTCTAATTCCATGGAATTCTGCCCATGAATCTAAACAAAAAATCAATGTACTGAGAAATCTTATAAACACAGTTTCAAGACTTTGCTCAACTGACTATGTAGATGAAGAAATCACCTTTATAAACACTAACAAATTTTCCCAAAGTACTGTCAAAAAGTTTTCACACAACCACCAGAACAAAAAAATTGACACTAATAAATTCACACTGCAGTTTACCATTTATTCCTGAAATCAGCTCAAAATAATCAATACTTGGAGAAATCTTGCCATTAAATATAAAATTCCTGTTGACTTCAAATTCATTCCACAACCTGGCCCTAAACTAATATCATTACTAAATAAAAAATTATATAGAATTACTTGAGCAGTGAGTGTTAGTTAAGCTAACATGTAGAAGTTGAAGTTCAAGAAATAAAACATTTTATCATCATTAAACTTTGAATTATGATTTACTGTATAATCGTTTTAGAAGACCCACTCAACAATATATTATGAATTATGAATGATTAATGAACATTATTCATTAATGAGAATTTAGCAAAATGCTCAAACTAGTTTTGAATGAGACATTATGTCTGGTGTGTGTATGCCATTTTTCATTTAACATTTTATGCAAGATATGTTAGTAACCAGTGGGACATTGTCGATAATTTGGTTCATACGAGTTGAAATAATTAAAAAATTACTTTGCTATTGTTTTTATATAAGTTCATTATTCTAACTTCTAGGAGGAGATATTGTTAGTACAAATGGTTCTGGATCTATTTCTATTTACAATGAGCATGGAGGAAAGTATTTTCCTGATGAGAACTTCAAGCTTAAACACACTGGTGCAGGAATAATAAGTATGGCTAATGCAGGTGAGCTGACATACAACAGATGTATATTTTATTGTCCAAAGCATTTCACCACATACATACAAGTTGTTTAAACTCTTAGCATTTCCTGTTTAATTTTTTATCATAAACTTTTAATTTTTATTAACAAGTTCATGTTTTAGTTTATTCTCTTCGGTTTAATGACATCAGTACAATAAAGTTAGTTTTTGATGATGTTAACAGATTTTAATAGTCAAATTTAATTAGTGGTCTACTGTAAAAATTAAAATGCCTTCAACACCTCTTAAAAGTATTTTATCTAGCATATCCTACTTTCTATTACTTAAAAACATAACATCCAAAGCCATCATTAAAGAGCAACAGTCTAGTGGATATCACTCCTGCATGTTGTTTTTCATTCATACCTCACTAACAATCCTTCTCTGGGCTACATACCAAAACATGACAGCATAATAGCAGTCAAAAGTTATTGTTTACTAAATAAGATAAGATGATTACAGGCCACTAATCCCTGTAACCACCTAACAGCTTGGATAAGTGAGTTTTTGAAGCCTATTGTTATTGTATATAAAATACCTTTTTGATGGCTTAGGTAAAAACACAAATGGATGTCAGTTCTTCATCACTGCTGTGCCCACCCCCTGGCTAGATGGTCACCACGTGGTCTTTGGAAAGATTATTGAAGGGATGAAAGTTTTCCATAAAATAGAAAACTTGAAGACCAACAAAGAAGATCAACCATTAAATGATGTTGTCATTACAAAATCAACAGTTGAAGATGGACTATACCTTAATATGGTTTTGTAAATTTTGTCTGAAATTATTTTTTATACTATATATTATTTTCAATAAATGTGATTGAAACAGTGTATTGATCTATGCAGTAATTTTGATTTGCAGCTGAAATGTAAGGTTTGATTGAATGTAAGATTTAGAAAGTTCAGCCTGGAGCGAACAAAGTAATAATAAAGTGCTACTTTTCCACATGTCTAAATGTATTTGTGAATTTAACATTTTTTACACTTTCGATTTCAATATGATAAAAATTGTAAAGTAAATCAGCTTGTAACCTATAGCATGGTGACATTGTAGACAATCCATTGTTTATCAGTGTCTCCTAGAAAGAAGTTTTACCTCATGATTTCAGGAAAGTTGGTATAATACTTAGTAATGTATTCTGTACCTGTTTAACAATTTCATTTATAAAATACGAAAGAAATGCAAGCTGAGATTTAATAATTGGTACATCCTTTTTCATTACAAAGTGTGATGGATTCCAAATAGTTGTTTCAAAGTAATATATTTATCACAATGTAAACTGGATCTTCAAGTTATTTTTTCATCAACGTGACACAGTAATCAGTAGATCCAGGTTTATTATAAAGATTGTAGGCTGGATTCTCAACAGTGGAAGCTATATTTTTCATGTTTTACTGTGTATGTTAACTAGAGGGTGCATGAAGTTAAGGAAAGTCGAGAATATCCATAATGTTCTAGATGGCATCACAAGAACCTAGTAACTTCTATGAATATATAGAAGTGAGACATAGATATAAATATGAGTGGATCAGTCAATCAGCAGTTAAGTTCAATGAGGTATTTGGATCAATGTTAATTACCACATATATTCAATTACTTAATAAATTAGCCATGAAACTGTACAAGTAAGTTTATTTTTCTACATTATTAGTGGTACCATTAGTAACGTATTTAAATTTCAACATCATTTGTAAACTTAGACCAAAAAGTTGCAACAATTTACAAGTGCAGTCAGTTTGAAGAAACGTGGAGAAAGATATAAACTAATTTGTTATTGTTAATTGGACTGGACTTTGAATTATTTTCACCAAGTAATTTAAAAGAAACTGCCCAAAGAAAGAACACTATTATAAGTGGAATTACTTTGGTGAAAACAAAATATAACTTGGTTCAATTTCAGCAAGTTAACATGGCAACTAGATCTAGAAGCAAGATTGAAGAGTTACTGGAAATGATGAAATTATTAAGAGGGACAAGAAGGATATGACAGAAAATTGAATGATATCAATAGACAGGAACATAGTGATGATAAAATAAAGACATGATATTTAAAAACGAATTAAAAAATTATAGGAAATTTCACTGAAGACAAGATCGGTGGATTGCAACAACTTTGAATAAATACATGAGGACATAGAACAGAGTTGTGAATGACAAAATTGATGAAGAAATCAGTAAAGTAGAAGTATTATTGACAGAATAAAGCACTGGAAAACAAATTATTAAAAGTAAATATTAAACCAGCCATACCTTTTTCTGCATCAGCTCAAGGGTTCCAACCTAAAATGCCATCTCCTACAAAATATGGAATAGGAAAACTTATTTGGTCCACACCTATTACCACTATAACATCTGTTATGGCAAGGCCTTCCTGGACTATTCCAGTCACGAGACAACCAAATCCAAATCAATAATTCAGTTGGCCAGTTCAACATTGACCAATCCAAAAACCAATGGACTGTGATGAAAAGGTACCATGGGAGGCATACCAAGCACAGTTGGAAATCATTTCTGTAGTACTGAAATGTCAACTTCCCCTAACAATAGTCTAGACAAACTGAAAGAGAGCTAGTTACACAGAATAGAGAAGAAGTCCACAGAAAAAATGCATTTCAAGTGTAAGGACATATTGAGAGTAACTGTAGATTAAAGCCTGTATGGAATAAGAACTCCACCCAAAGATTACCATAAAAAGAAAACTGTTATAATTGTAGGAAGTAAGGCAAGGGAATCAACAGCTGTTATTAAGAAATACTACCCTAAGAAGGAGTCTTTGAGTACAAATAGATTGAAGAAAGAACAAAGGGCTAACCAGACCTCAAAAAGACAGTAACTAGATGGATTTATGGGGCAAAGTACAACTAGGTATTTTCCTCCTACTCCAAATGAGATAAGAAGTTTGTTATTTGTGAAAAATCCTTCAGGAGTCCATGGGTTTATTGATGGAAAAACTTGTAGTATGTTGATTTACTAGTTCTACAGCTACAATTGTTTGATTCAATTTAATAATGAAAAATGAGAAGTTGCCACTAGAGATGAAGAAAGACTGATGTGAACAGCAGGTGGACATACAAGTTCCAAAAAAAACAAAAAGCTTGGAAGTACCCTTACTGTAGGAAGCTACTCTACACCTCATAATGTGAAGGTAAGCATTTCACTTTTTGGTGGTACAATGACCACCCACCCTTTTGTCACTGAAATTCAGCCTCTGGTGTAGTAATCATGATATAGTTCATAGAGTGAGAAGCTAGCCTAGCCTTGCATCCAATATGCATTCTTCCTTGACGTCAGCTATTTCATTAGTTATTAGTGTAGAGAAACCAGATGCTCCAGCATGTCCAGAGGGATAGATGATTGAAAGAGCTTTCGTGGATCTGAAGAACAAAGATGTCATGCACGACTTTACTCGGGAAAGACTTAAACTAGTCTGTGATAAAATGCAAAATTACTATTATGTTAATGCTGATAAAACCAAATTTCATATAGCTGAACAATTCCCGTCACAAGAAAGTACAAACTTCAAAGATAAGTAGGTGTTCAGTATGACATGTGTTTTACTGAAAATAATCATTTACATAGTTTACAGAATTCACAAGGACAGATGATGCAAACCAAAGATCATCCACTGTCACTGTCTTTGGAAATATGTCAGTGGGAGAACAGCCAAGTGAGTAGCTCCAGAGAAGTTGTCAGTGGAACGTTAACCTGTGGGGGAGCTCAGGGTTCCTGTTAAAACTACTTCCAGAGGTTGGAGCTGCCACTGGATTCATTTGACTACCTATCCAGGAAGAACTCCTTCAGTGACAAGATACCATTCTATCAGTATACATGGGCCTTTTGTATACACAAAACCAGAACAACAGTGAATAGACAATTTAATGTGGTGTTTTATATTATTTTGTAATAGGATTGTTCAAGAGACTTCACAATACAGGAAGAATGTAGTGTTATAAAACTATATTTTTAATGTTCTAATTTGTTTATTAACTAGAGGACACATGATGTTAAAATAAGCCTAGAATGCTCTAGATGACATCATAAAAATGTATTAATTTCAATGAATATCTAGAATTGAGACATCTGATACAAATGGGCTAGTCAATTGATGAGCTAGCATTGAATCAGTCAGTTTAGTTCAGTGAGGTATTTGAATTAGTGTTAGTTATCACATTTATTCAGTTACTCAATCGATTGGCCATGAAATTGAACAAGTAAGTTTATTTTTTTACATTAATTATAGTACCATTAGTGAAGTATTTCTGATTCAAAATCATTTGTATATTTATGCATACAAGTTACAACAGTGTAGACAGTTTGTAGAAATGTTAAGGAAGAAATGAAGTAATATTTTATCATTACATAGACTAGACTTCAAATTATTTTCAACAAATGATTTATAAAACCCACCTTAGGAATGAATAATTTTACAACAATATCAAAGATACAGAGTAATAAGTACATACTAAGCTGGATTCCCATGTAGTTTACATGAAAGGGACACAGTAATCAATTCATCTTGATTTGTTATGAAGAGTATATCTGGATTCCTAACAGTTATCATACATCCTAAATTGTTATAAACACACAGCCTGGTTACAAATAGTTACTTATTTAAAATGAGACTAAATCTGTTTATCCTGAAACAAAGTGTCAAAAATAATAGCTGAAAATATTCTGATGATTAAAATCAGAAAGTTTAAAAAAGTGTGATAATTTAGAAACTTAGAAAGTATAGAAGGATAATCAGAACCTGTAAACTGAAAGGGGTGTAGGAAAAGTGCAACAAACCAGAATCTTGGGAAGAGGGGAGAAAACAGTCCAAATATTTAAAAAGATTATGATAAATGTGATTCAAAAACTTAAATGGGTGTAAAAGAATCGAGTAGTTTGGAAAGTTGGAAAAGATGTAACATAATATACTTCTTTGAAACCAAACCGAAAATAAATTACTTTTAATGTTAACATTTCAACCAAGAAGTTACTGCTAAATGCAACTATTAAAAAATGCTGAAGATGGAAATTCATTAACAATATTTCAAACCAAATGTGAATGAAAAAAAATTGCATTTTGATACAGCATACTTGATTCGATGATTGATACTCAACACGTTTAAAATTTTTAATACTTTCATTTTGATTATTCCCAAGACAATGTATTCATGTTAAATAAATTAATGTTACCAACTGGAATAGTAATTTATTGAGAAAATTGGTTATAACTTGAAAAGATTTTTAAATAGAACTTCAAAAACTAGTTTTTGTATTCTTGTAGAACATGAAGATTGTGATTATTTTTTGTTTTTGCTACAAAAATTAAAAGAAACAAAGTAGAATAAGAGAGTTTTAATGGTCTAAATGTACAGAAAATAAAATGACAGTATGGGATATTCATAACCAAATCGTTGTGAACCAACTACTTTTTGTCTGCCTCTTTCTTTTTGCTTTTTTCATCTTTTTTTCCTTCTTCTGTCTTTTTCTTCTCCTCCTCTTTCTTCTTGTCTTTGCTATCATCTTTTTTAGTTCCCTCTTTTTTTTCTGCATCTCTGTTAGTAAGCTTATTGTTGATTAAATTGTGCAAAGCAATAACGGAGCGCACCATGGAAGCAAGATACACAACCAACATCTGATCATTGGTCTTGATGTAGAGGGATTTGATGAAATCTGGACTAGACACATCAGGAAGAAGATTGAATATGTCCTGCAGCTGGTAGATGATGGTGTGATTGACTGGAAGTTTTCCTGAAACCACCTGTATTTCAAAAATAATTTATGTTCAAGTGTACATATTTCTGACAAGAAAAAGAAAATTATAATTTTTTAATCATTTTAACAAGGACTAAACTTCTGTTAGACCAATCACCTTGACATTCAAACAACAAGAAGTCAAAACATGTAGATTATTTAGTAAAACAGCTTGTATATAAATCTGCTAACGGGATTTGTATGTTTTAATCTGCTTCTGAATGCACATAGTAAGTTTGATATTTGTTTGGAGTTTAGTAGGACAGTTTTAAGTAGATTTTGACTTTAAAATTTTGCTCATTTTATTTTATCAGTGTTTTTGATTAAAACATACAAATTCCATTGACAGATTTATGCAAAAGCAGATTAAAGCATACAAATCCTGTTAACAGATTCATACAAAAGCAGGTTAAAACATGCAAATCCCATTAACAGATTTATACAAAAACAGATTAAAGGATCATTAAAAAAAAATCAACGTTTAATAAAAAGTTTAGTTTTGGGGCAGAGAGCTAGACAGTACACTTTCATTTTGTTATACATCAGTGTTATCTGTTTGATAAAATATATTTTAGTATTTCAGAAGTGACAAAATTTTAATTAATCATGCAGACAAGAAAGCTGTATTATGAAGATCCTGTTTTCCTGATCTCCAACTATTATTTGATTCACATCTACCAGAGGTTGCTCCCAATATAATTGTGTCGATCTAGTTTTAATAATTACATACATTAAAAAATGTAAAAGTAAAAAATCCATGGTAGGTACATAGAGTTAACTGTTTACTAGACTAATTTAAATAGATTGCAGAAGATCAATCTTTACTGTTACCTCTTCTAGATATTTTTTGATTTGGTTGATTTGTGAATTCAGTCCTTTCAGTCCCATCAGCTGATTGGTGATTCTCTGTGACATGGTACCAAGAGTGGTATCTTTGATGTCCCTAAAAGACAAGATCAACTCTTAAGAAAATTAATGAAGCATTATAAAATAAACCACCAAGATTAAGATATTTTGTATATAATCATTCTACTAACTTTATTGTCTAAAGCTGATGAATGGCCATACCATTTAGAAATCATGTTTCCTGTTGGTATTTTAATTAAACTAATCATTGAAATAAACAAACTGTCTTCTCAGAATTTAAACCTTATATTTCCACCACGGGGACTTGAACCAACAGAAGGCAGCTACTGTATACCTAATACAGTGAACAAAGTAAGTAGTTACTATGGTTAGTTATATTACTCTTCAATATTATCAGGCTGAGAAAATCCCAGGTTCCCATGGGAATATAGAAATCCAGGTTACCGATAAAAGCAAGAAAGAAGCCTTAATAAGCCACAGCCCTAGTAACAAAATGTTGATATTTCAATACTTTATTGAGTGCTTCCTTTCAATATTAAAAAGAAGATATCTATTCCAGTTATACACTATATTGTTTAGTAATAAAAGGCAGGAAGTCTGCATTGTGCCATTTCACTATTAATGCAAAGTTACTGGTATTTTATTCACTGAACTTATATAACTTTTTCTACATTATGCTTCTTTCTCCAGTGAAAATTCACTAATTTTTCCCCTGTACAAGTAGTATATTAGTTATTGTTCTGCTTGTATGACAGCATTAACTACTGTACATGAAGATCATGTAAATAGAATTAAAAACCTAGCTGTTCATTGAAAAATAAAGTACTACATTTTCAGCATTTATAGGATTAATTATCTATCATAGATGTACACCATATTTCCAAAGTATTGAGACAACAGAACAGGGTATCTTCTGTTTTTATGCTGAGGTTCACTTATAACAGAGAGTGAGCCTGTCTTTGCAATAATCATAAACCAGCCTTTGTTAATAACACATGCCTTTAACTGTAGGTACGTTGGTTGGAATCAACTATCCTAATTCTTGGAAAACAGTTTCAAATTAAATGACATTTTTAAGACAGTCTGTTTTGCTTCTCAAAGACCATTTGAAAACTTCCAAGAATGGTCTGAATTCATTTTGAGGTTCCCAAGACATCAGGTTCTCACCAAGATGAAAGTTATATTTTGTTTACATTTTACTGACAATCATTTTGAAGTTTCTTTTTAACCTCTGTTTAATTATTTATCAAAGGAATTTTTCAATGGAACTTATATGGGTTTCTAAACACTCTCAACCCACTATGCATCCCCATTAGCTCTGGGTAGGTCAGTAAGTCTCTGAACTTATGATGCTAAAAATCAGGTTTCAATATCTGTGGTGGGCACAAAAAGAACAAACACAAATAGCCCTCAAGTACGTTTTAGCAAAATTCAAAAGGAAACAAGCCTGTTATGCTTACGGTGTTTTCCATGTTTATGTAACAATGATTGTAGCAAGTTATTAGTTATAGAAGGCTGATTCAGGTGACTGAGCAAAATAGAAACATTGTTCTACAAACAAAAAATGAAGAAAGACATGCAAAGAACTGTTCTGAGAATATATCATTAAGGAGTAATATATGTACAGCTAGATTGTTTAATAATGTAGAAGCACAGGAAGTAAAATATCACAGAAAGCATTCAATCTTCTTCACAAATCTGTTAAAATGTATACAATAGTGTATTTAGAACAGCAAAAGGGTTCTGAAACATTACCACAAGAGAACCCCATAGCAACACCCTCAAGGGTTCTGAAACACCACCACAAGACAACCCCATAGCAACATTCTCAAGGGTTCTGAAACATCACCACAAAACAACTCCATAGAAACACCCCTTAGTTGTAAAGTGAACATTTTAACAGAAAAAACATAGACAATTGTATGTTTCACAAATAGTTCATTAATTAATGACCATGGTTTTGCCAGTAAAGGCATCATCAAGTACCATGATCATTAATAAAATAAATATTTGTGAAATGTACAATTGTTTTTGTTTTTTCCTCAATTCTGGAGTTTCACCAAGTACCAATGGTTTCAAGTGTCAATTATATGAAATTGTTAAGGCTATAATTGCTTAATCAAGAACTAGCCAGTAAAAACAAAAACAATACAATTTATAATCGCAGGTGTTACCTTATTCCACTACAGCTGACAAGCGAGGTCAATATTTTAATTGTCCCATCTAATGTACATTTTGATAAGAAACTAAATAACTTAGATTTATAACCAACATAAGGAAAACTAAATAATGAGAAAATAAATCTTGGAACTAAAATTCATAAACAAATATCACAGAATTTCCTGTTTGTTTATTCTGAACAGAGATTATACAATATTAGTTATTACAAATTTTAAAACATCAAGACTTTACTTTTACCTAAATTACACTAGATTACCCTGTTTATAAAGACTTAAAAATTTGTTTTGCAACTGAATAAGATGTTTTACTCTTGATTTCACCACAGGGACAGCCTTAGGGAGGTGCAAGTGGTGCAGCACACTTAGCCCCAAACTTGTAGAGGCCTTGCAACTGAATAAGATGTTTTACTCTTGATTTCACCACAGGGACAGCCTTAGGGAGGTGCAAGTGGTGCAGCACACTTAGCCCCAAACTTGTAGAGGCCTTGCAACTGAATAAGATGTTTTACTCTTGATTTCACCACAGGGACAGCCTTAGGGAGGTGCAAGTGGTGCAGCACACTTAGCCCCACACTTGTAGAGGCCTTGCAACTTAACAAGAAATATTTTATTTTTCATGTTTGGTCCTTAGCCTTTTTTATTCTGTACTGTTGATTAGAGGTACTATTATCATGGTATAAAGAATTAACTTCAATATTAAACTTGCCAAAGTTAAAACAGTAGCAAGGTGTGTCCATTCACAGAGAAGCAAGGTTTATTTTAATATTAACTCTAACATCAGTTGATTCATTAGACAGACTCAAACTCTTTCATCTATAAACATTACACCATTACCTAAACTACATGACTTAAACTAAAAAAAAAAATCCTAACTTCGCAGATATATCTTTGTGTGAAAAACAAAATTGAGAATGAATTGTCATTATTCTGTCGAAACAAACTTCTTGGATAGTGATGTGTTAAAAAACTATAGAAGAGAAAGGTAACCACAATGCTAGAAAGAGAAGAAAGAAAAAGCAACTCTCAATCTTGGACAACGTATTACTCATTTCGTTCACACCCACAATAAAAAACAAACCGGTTTATTCCAGTGTTCTATATTCCTCAACATGTATGATTGTCATGTTTGATGTATAATCACATATTTTCTGTTTCGGTGGACTTTTATTTATACATGTTTCCGACTGTTAAATAGTAAGAGTTTAAAAAGTTTACCCAGCCTGCAACTTTCTCACAAGGCGCCACTACATGTAAAACAATAACAACAGAACTTGGCTAAAACAACACACTAGAAAACCATGTAAACAGAGATTTTTTGTTGACCTATTATAATTTTCATGAGGCTTTTTTTGTTACATCCTTTAAAGACATATTAAAATAAATTTTGATATTTGATAAGATATTTTAATTTGATACTTTTATATTTACAGTTTATCAGATTCATACAGGGGGTTGACAGGTTGGTTAGTCCTGACAATAAAGTCACACACTGTTTTAGCTGTTTTCAACTCTTCATTCTTAAGTTTCAATAGGGTCCCTCCACCTACCTAAGGCTGCTGTCCCTCCACCTACCTAAGGCTGCTGCTATCACTGTTACCCATCATATCTTTGTAACTTTTTATTATGAAATGTTTATCTCAAATTCAAAACAGCTTAAACTAATTATGTTCCTCAAACAGTGAAATATCAGACTTTAAACGTTGGTTATATACCTTTTGTATACTTTTCCTGTTTGTTATGCATTCTATCCCAGCAAAATAGGTTACTAAAATTTGAATTAAAGAACATTAACTGACATAAAGCATTAGTTCTGTGTTATGGTTTTACAGATTTGTTTTAAAAACTAGTATAGAAAAAAGCTGTTATATATTTTATTGTTATGAAACTATCATTTTTTTTAATCTTTTTAAATCTTGAATCAATGTTGGCTCCTATTTGATTTATTTAAACCGTTTTCTCTTTGATATAAGTTAACAGTGGTGATCAATTGTAAAATTATTCAAATTGCATTTCTCCTCACAAATGTTAATGCAATTTTTATGAAAAATCTTCCAATTTACAGTTGAATAAAATATTAAAATAATTCCAAACAACATTAACTTATTATGTAAATATACAATTAGTTACCAATTTTTAACAGCTTAAAGTCTTAATTTCAAATACAATGCAAAAAAAGCTTTTAAAAAGATTCATTTGCACCTCTGAACATGTGAACAGATATTCAAACTTCACCTTAACAAATGCTCAACTCCAACTTCTTCAGCTTCTTCTGCTCCTATTTCACTTGGAACATGTTCAAATGTTTTGTTTGTGGGTGTACCATCCTGTATTGAATTAAAACTTTCAATTAAATTGTACCTTGAAATTTAGCATTATTTTAACTTGACTTAACAATGAAAGCAAATACACATTATCCTATCATATGATCAACTTTCATGATATTAGAAAAACATGTAGGTTCAAGAAGTCTTGATAGAAATGAATAAAAACCCTATAACCCTTTCTTCTTCAGGGGCAAACTGGGAATAGTAGTGTAATTGAATGAGTGATATATATATAAAGGGAATTTAGTGACATCATGAAAGTCATCTGGTTTTCCAGGAAATGTTTAGTCTATTTCTGTACGTACTGTTGTAAGCGTCTCATTTCCGGTACAGTGTAGCCGAAAGCGAGAGTTTATATGAAAATGTGTTAAGGATATTTTACTTTAGAAATGGATAAATATATGTACATTTGAAACTATACTTAAGTGTTTAAATAAAATAAAGGTGACACCTGGAGAGTGATTAAAATTATTTGTTATGCTAATCAATTTATAAAAACAGGTATGGAAAATTATCTTAAATAAACAGTAAGCTTCAGGAAATTCAGCATTCACATTAGGTAAAAAAAAATAAGCAAATAATAAAAATTATTTTTCGGAAAGAAATGAAACCAATGAACAGAGATCACTGATTCCAGGTCCTAGATTAATTCCAAACGGTTGAAAAGTGTTTAGATTAGCAATCCAATAAGCTTCTTTAATGATAAACTTTAATATTCAGATTAGTCATCCTTATTTTCAATCTAGGTCTTTCCTCTCAACATTACAAATCATAAGGCATTCTTTCCACTAACAAAAATAACACTATAATCCTCTTTCATTACAAGTAAAATAACAATGTTGTTTTCACAGAAACAATTAACTTTTTAAGGTAGTTCTTTTTTTGTCAGGACTATTCATGAATATCACAGGAAACTTATGCTATCAATCATACAAGTTCATGAATATCACAGGGAACTTATGCTATCAATCATACAAGTTCATGAATATCACAGGGAACTTATGCTATCAATCATACAATTTCATGAATATCACAGGGAACTTATGCTATCAATCATACAATTTCATGAATATCACAGGGAACTTATGCTATCAATCATACAATTTCATGAATATCACAGGGAACTTATGCTATCAATCATACAATTTCATGAATATCACAGGGAACTTATGCTATCAATCATACAATTTCATGAATATCACAGGGAACTTATACTATCAATCATACAATTTCACCTATGCTGTTGTTCTTCCTTCCAAAATAGAAAATAACATAACTATTACTTTACCTACACAAACAGTTTTTTTATTTGAGTTCTGCCTGATGACAATGTCAACATTAGGGTACATTCTCTACACTCATAGACGTAGTTTTTAAACTTGGTCCTTGCATGTGTATTCACACCATTAATAATGCAAATTACTGATCATTCAAAAAATTGTAATATTACAGGAAGTATTACCAATAATGTTACTCACTGTGTTAACTAATACTTTGTAGCATTCCTTGGTCATTGTAGAAGTTAAAAAAAGTTAATGATAGCAATAGCTATCTTACACAGTTAAGAAAACCATAAATATCTTTCTACCATGTCAAAGCATACAATCTTCCTAACCCTGAATCATGACTTACATGTTTCAGACAATTCCACAGACATAACTTGGCCTAAATACTTTACTTGCTTCTGTACTGAGCCAAGCCAGACAATAATTGTCTCTTGTAAGCACCAGCCATACATGTACATATCTGTACTCTTCTGTAAGTTAGATGTTTTAACATCCTCTTCTGGAGGGAAAAGCTATTCTATGCAGAATCCTGGATGTCTGCATAAAATGCAAGATTTATATGTTTCTTGAAGAGATAGCTAGTAATTAGGAAACTGTAAGTAACTTAACTATCAAGCACTTCTCAAGGTTGTTCAAATCATGCAGAACAAGGAATCAGATACCCCACCATACCCCACTGGGAGAGAAAGAAATCATATGATGATCTCCGAGATAAGAGAGAGGTAAGTTTACTTAGACAAAAAGAGCATACCTCCCCAACAAGTTCCAGCAACAGGGTAGCCAAGTGAGAAGATACAAGACCAAGCAAGAAGAACATGACAACATAGAAAAAAGGAAGGGAATGAGTGTCTGGTAAAAACCTCCAAGGGGAATGGTGGATTGCTTCCAAAAAGAGATGGATGAAGGATAGTAACATAAAATGCTAGTGAGGGTAAGATAAATATGAGAAAACTGAGCACAAGAAAGACTAACAGAGGTCAATGAAGCCTGAAGAAGAGACTCCAAAATTTTAGAGTTTAAGAAAAGGGCTCCAACTCGATTGTAAGCCAAGGCATATGTGCAATCAATCGAGGAGGAGGAGGCATACTGGTTAAGCTGAGACAAAAAACTTTTTTAGCATGGATTCCAATACATTAGAAAAGTGAAGAAAAATAATATTCTGTGGTAGATGCCACAAAGTTTGCAGAGGCAAAATTGTTTGAAAATATAATCAAAAAATATTTTCCCAACAGTTTGTTTTGTAGATATTTCAACCAAACATTGATGTTGATAAATCTCATGCTAGCAAAAAAAAAATCCATCTTAAAACACAATTGCCAACTTGCAAAGCAGTGTTGCACACCTTACTGGTGGAGGGTTATCACGTTTATTTGCATGCAACATCAGCAATATCGGGTAGAAACATGTGAGATTAGGTTGGAGACTCAAGATTGTTGGTGAGCAAAACATTTCACATATAGAAGGCAACACTGAATCAGGAAAGCTATATGTGAGAAGAGGTTACATAATGTATCCAAAGTTGTAGAGCTGGGTCTTGCTAATAACTCCCAAGAACAACTTTTTTACATCTGGTTCTCCAGTGTACCCAATATTCACTTTATCTAAACCAACAGAGTCTGAACTGGGTTTTGCTAGATGATAAAATAAATATTACATTATAGAATATTTCCAATTTTCAATGAACTTTTCAATTACCATACAACTTGTATTCAGTTTCTTCATAATTCAAATCACACAATATTCATTCCATCCAAATACAGCCTCCTTTTATTTATTCTGGTAAAGATAAAAGTAATATACTAGTGATATATTCTTCAAAATAGCAAAACTTTAACAATCTGCACAACAATTTTCCCTGAACAATAACAACAATGTATTACCTTGTCATTGAATTCCCTACCATTTTTGTTTTATGTGTTGTAAAAATACCTTTTACTTTGAACTTGAATACTCACATCATGAACTTCTTCAACAGCTATGTATGCTTCTGTTGGTAATCCAAGGTCTTTCGGTTTTGCATCAATTATGACTAAAACCTACAGTAAAAATAGTGACAAATAAACTTGATATGTAAATGATTTTAGTTGTAATTAGTAAGTAAAAATAGAGACAATTCCTCACAAAATGTAGAATATGAACTTTCCTTCCTTTCTAAGATTTGTAGTTTTAAATTACAAGACAATATATATGAATTATATGAGCTAACTAATTGTAACAAATGACCACTTTCATTAAATTAAATCCATAATGTTCTTTGGCAGTTGACAAATATCAGGAGCCAAGTTTTATCAGAAAAAAAGAAAACAGCTACTGAATGATACTCCAGTTATTTTGACTGAATACACAACAGGAGACAAAAGATGGATGTTGTCAGCTAGCATCATTGAGCCTTTAACCTTGTGGGAAAAATTTCATGGAAATCAGCAGGTGCCTAATATCACTATACAACAGTTAAGATTTTCACCTACCATGGCTGCTTCTAAACTCAACTGTAAGGTATTTGGTAACTTACAAACACACACATATAAAAAGCATAAAAAAGAAGAAAAAAAAGTATCTCGATGGATTGATCAGCTAAACTTGTTACTGTGGGCTATAATCTACACCTTTTAGATGCTAGCCTGGATAGTAGCAACAAAAATAAGGCAACAGTGTGGATTCAATTTGTAGAACAATAACTGACAGCAGTGACTTCAAACAATAGCAGAGTTGGAGCTAGTAAAGTCAGGGAGAAGAGATTAATGGCAATGAATAATCAAGTGAGGAGATGGTCATCATCTCAGAGTGACCCTAGAGAGAGAGAAATAGAGAATGGCGATTTGAAGACTTATAAATAGTGACTGTTAGTGATACCACTTTAATTTTGTTACAATTGTTTAACTTAATAAAAAACAGAAAGAGAAGAAAATAAATCCTCCAATATTAACTATGTCTTGTCTAGAAATTTTGTAGGTTCCCCAATAAAGAAATTACCAGTAATAAATAGCCTATTTATATTAGGTTTTTATCATTGAAATTATATATTACCAGCAGATATTTTTTTGGCATTGACCTGTTCAATATTCAACATGAAAACCAAATTTGAAAAGAAAAATAGCAGAAACATTTTCACGTGATTTTTAAGTGTGCATCAATGATGACTGGATGCTGTGTTATCACTGAATGGGATATTTACTACTTAACATCAACCATGTAGCTGAAAATATTCTAAAATAATTCTTTGACATACTGAGAGAGTGGGAATTAGAACATACAAACCTGCTGTGTATGATATCTAACAATAGATCAAGCTATAAGAAAACTTTTAATGAGCTAATCAAAACAGTGTTTCAACTGTCACTAGCTTCAATGCTTTGGATATGACCTAGGCCTTACAATAGGGAAAGGAATATAAACCTCAGATATGACGAAAGTAATATCTCATCTTAGAAGAACAGTTTCTGCTTTTGGACAGGGAGGGAAGAGATCAGCAAAGTGTTCAAGATGGAAATTTTTTAGCAGTTTATGTTTTAAGTATAAAACAAATATGTATATACAACCTACAGAAACAAACATACACTATGCACAATAGTAGCAAAACATCTTTTAACTTAGAAAAAGTGCAAAAATAAATACATATAAAACATCCTGATATAAACCTTTAGTAAACTAATTCATAGCTGTGTTCTAAGTATTTCTGATTGTTACTGTTTTCAGTTATTCCGACAATCAATTAATCGAATAATCACCATAATTTGATTTTTTCTAGCTTCAAGTTTGTTCAACTTTGGGCCACCATGTCCTGGTGATTCAGATGTGTGTGTGTGTGAGATTTGAGGATCTTGGGTTTGATTTCCATTCTCACTGAATTTGCTTGCCCTGTCTTTGTTATGGCAAAGCTAATAAGACTATCTGTCACTGTCATTAATTTTGAACTGATGATTAGAGGAAAGACACTTGGCTGGCAACACCCTTCATCAATGTTTTTTCTAGCTTGTTCATAAAATGGTTTGAAGAACATTATACTAATTGATTAACTAAATATAATAGATTAACTCTTTTGCAAGGAGAGCCCCTTTAAACACTTTTCTGCACAAGTCACTGTGTTACATTTAAAATTTAATTAAACCCCTTTAATATCAATTTATGTGAATGAATTTAATATTATAATATGTGTTACGATTATTTTTACCTTAAACTTTTGATATCTTTTTAGAGACTATGCAAATGAAATATGAAAACCCTAAGACGAAAAAAGTATTTTTATACTTAAATGAAAATCACCTTGCACTTGGATTTGTTTATAGTTTGAATCCAAGTAACTACAACAGAAAAATAACATTTTTAGCAAAAACACTTGATTATAAAACCATCATTACTTGTGTACAAGATAATTATGATCTTTAATAAAATTTTAACAGTTTTTGAGAGGATACATCAAGAAATCTCAGAGTTACCACATTGTTGTACAAGTAAAATACGCGACTCGATTTCCACAAATTGCATGAGCCCGCCGCATAAAGGTTAATGGGACTTTCAAACAATTCATTAGCAAATACCATTAATTACCCAGCTTGACTGTATAACCTTTGCATCACTTCCAATGCCATTTATTTTTCACAAGTTTACCAATGAGGGCTTGTCGCTTCATATTTCAAGAAAACTGGAATGACAATACCTTCATCATACAGCTACACAGACAATGATTGTAAAAAAAAGAAAAAGAATTAACATAAATTATGTTTGTCACTTAGGGGCACATTGTGAAACTACAAAAAAGTTTTATATGATTTATGTGTATAATAAGAGAAGAGAAGCCCATCTTAATTTTTTACAGTTACCCTAGAATTTCTTAGATGAAAAGTTTTCTATAAAGGAAAACTCCCACTTCTGTTTGGAATACATGAATATTGGAAAATTATTTCTTCTTTAACTGAATATCAAAAAAGCTCTTGGCCTGCCTGATTCATGGTGAACCAACCAAACAGGATTCTAAACTTAAAATGATGGACATATTTTTGATTCATAATTAACCAAATTTTCTAGTGACCACTTCTTAAAAGAAAGATATCCTCAATGCCCTTAAGAAACGTAAGGAATTTACCCAAATCATGTGGCTGCAAACATTCTGGATCCTACCAAGTGGGAAATGTTTCTCCTGGAAGAATCTAGCTTATGGAAGGCCTATTAATAATGTGACATATTTATCCAACTAGTCAGTATGAGTAAAATAGCTGTTAGTTTTCTCTGCCTCCTGTAGTAATTAAGTAATCTGTCAGTACACATGGATTTGTGCCTTATAACAAAGTGCAACATTAACAGAAGAGGAAGAGATGTTACATGAGCAAACTAAAAAGATAACTAAGGATGGTAACAGACCAAGAAGCAGGTGGAAAAGACACATGAAAAAGTTAAAACTTACTATAAATAGGAACTCGCAAGTTAGTACCTTAAAATAATAAATATTTATTAAAGGGTAATGAAAAATTAATGGTAATTCAATTACTGTTCCATTTAGTTTGGTATCTTTCTATTGGAAATGTTAAGACAGCAAATCTGTTGTTTGTCTTGTAAAATATTAAGTACTCTGCCACTATTTAAATTAGCAACAAATATTTTATTTCCAACATTTAAGTATTAGAAATACGAATTTTGTTGTTTTATGGTAAAACTACTAAGGCTATCTCTGCCATCCCTAAGTTTGAACTGCAGATCATAGAGAAGGCAACTGATTGGCAGTAGCACCTGTAGCCAACTCTTTTACTAACAAATAATGAGATTTACTGTCACATTATAATACCCCATGGCTAAAAAAGCAAACATGTCTGAGGCCAGGTTTTGATCCCATGACCCTTAGATATTTTATCAAGTGCCCTAATAGTTAGGCCAAGGATTTTGAAAAATAGTTGATTACAAATAATTGTATGTTTGCTTGCTTCTTGAATTTTACACTATGTTACACGAGGTTTATATGCACTAGAATCCTTAAGTGTGAAGTGATAGACAGCTAGTTAACATCAACCACAGTAAACTTGTCATACTAAGTAGTGGGATTTGTCCATCACTCTTACAGTCTCAAAGTGTTGAGCATAATTGTTTTAAAAAGGTAACAAAACATTATTTTAAGATAAAGAAGCTTTAATATTCATGGTAGTTAAACCAGGAGAAGTAAACATGTTGATAATTCCAATTGCATGGATGAAAGTGGATAAATATCAAGGCTGCTTAGAAAATGAATATTTCACTAACTTTGTTATTGCTATTACACAGAAAAACTACAGTAAGACCTTGAATGATGACCTAGAAAGAGGGAAAAGCTAAGGATGATAGAATGAATAGAACAACAAAGAGAGTTGGTTAATTTAGTTATTATAAAAGAAGGGTGATATCCTTGAGCTTTGGTCCTCAAGACTGAATTAAGACAATACATGAGCAACGAATTTTTGTTACTCATGAGATACTGATACTCGAGGATGATGGGAAATATTTGGAGGTATCAGGATTTTGATGGAAAATAACTATATTGATATGTGACTAAGCAAAGAATATGACAAAAAAGAGAGAAATACTTTTAAATAGCTGAACATAAAAATCTCAAAACGAGACAAAAAAATGTAAAACTGGTTCAAGTAACAAAATATTTGGACGTAAACTCAAAATGAAATGTTTACTGGAACATAAAGCAAGACAACAGAGAATATTAATGAGGCTTCATGTACCTCAAAAAAATGTTAAATTAAAGCTAGGAACAGAAACCCAGACTACACAGAGTAATAATAACTAGGGTTCAGATATACTACACTAATGTACGAGTGGAAGCTAGGAACAGAAATTCACACTACACAGAGTAATAATAACTAAGATTCAGAGATACTACATTAATGTATGAATGGAAGCTAGGAACAGAATCCTAGCCTACAAAGTGTAATAATAACTAGGATTCAGAGATACTACACTAATGTACGAGTGGAAGCTAGGAACAGAATCCCAGCGTACAAAGTGTAATAATAACTAGGATTCAGAGGTATAACCTACTGTATGAGTGGGAGCTAGGAAGAGAAACTCAGAACTACATTCAGAGATACTACACTAATGTATGAGTGGAAGTTAGGAACAGAAACCCAGACTACACAGATTAATAATAACTAGGATTTAGAGATACTACACTAATGTATGAGTGGAACAGAAACCCAGACTACACAGAGTAATAATAACTAAGATTCAGAGATACTACACTAATGTATGAGTGGAAGTTAGGAACAGAAACCCAGACTACACAGATTAATAATAACTAGGATTTAGAGATACTACACTAATGTATGAGTGGAAGCTAGGAACAGAATCCCAGCCTAAAAAGTGTAATAATAACTAGGATTCAAAGATACTATACTAATGTATGAGTGGAAGAGAAACCCAGACTACACAGAGTAATAATAACTAGGATTTAGAGATACTACACTAATGTATGAGTGGAAGTTAGGAATAGAAACCCAGACTACACAGAGTAATAATAACTAGGATTCAAAGATACTACACTAATGTATGAGTGGAAGCTAGGAACAGAATCCTAGCCTACAAAGTGTAATAATAACAGGGATTAAAAAATACCACAATAATAAATGAGAGGAAGCTAGGAACAGGAATCCAGACTACAAAGAATAATAATAAGATATATCACACTAATATGCGAGTGAAAACCAAGACTGTCTGAAGTAATAATAAGGCTTCATACGTACCAAACAAATGTAGAGAGGATGTTAAGAATATAAATCAAGATTAGATAGACTAATGACTTAACTTCAAAGTTAGTAAAATAAATATTGAGTTGATATCAGAAAGAATAAGCAAGGCTAGAGGCTAATGACGAAATTTCAGAAATAAAAAAATAAACAAACAGAACCCATAAAAAGCACTGCATGGTACAGAGGCTCTGTTTAAAATAAACATTATGACCTGGTAATATAAATCAATATTAATCACTGTGTAAAGGAAAAGCTGGAACAATATTAACTATAGTTAATGAAAAAAAAATAAAGATTGGTTGACAAGAATACAAGAATTGAAGTTCCATGTAAAATGAAGAAGAATTAAACTGAACAAAGTAATCAAATTGCTTTGAAAGATTACAGAAAAGAGTAACGTACTTAAAATAATAGAAGTTTCTTCTCATGTAGGAACTAAGAAGTCCATAGAATGAGTGAGAGAAATAGTATTACTTTGGTCAAAAATGTCCTGTCAAACAAGCAAGGTAATAATAGTCTGGTGATACTCCACAAAATTATTAGTAACTTAAATGAAAAAATATAACACTGTTGAATATGTCGCATACACTCATTCTAGCAACAGAATGTTTTAACAATTATGTAACTTAGAACACTGTACAGGTTTCTCCTATAAACTAAAAATTTCTCAAAATATATGGACTATTTGACTGTGGGCACTGATCAAAGTCATTGCTAATAATGGAACCACATTCTACAGAAATTAAAAAAAAAAATTCTTCAATTTTCCCAATGGATAATCAGAAATCTTCAAAGCTCAGTGCTCCTTTTTGCTATCTCTCCTTTTTTCGTAAATTACAGATCTGATGAAGGACTTGGCATTGAGCTTGAAACGTCAGAAAACGAAGAAAAAAAAACAAAAAAAAAACAGAAGTTCGTAAGAAACTTAGTCCATTTTTAAACTGTACGACATTCATCAATATATATTTCTTTCCATACTGTATCTTACCGATTGAAGCAGCGAACTTTCAGCTGATAAATTATACAAATACAGAAAAATTAACAAAAGTATATATGTGAACCTTGATCGCACCTTTTACAAGTGAGTCATTGTTACTTTAATTAGACATCATAGCATAATATGTTCCCAATAATACATTTGGTTGAGATAATTTTACACTTAAAAGTTATAGTCTGATTTCAATAAATAAATAAAAATTTCTTGTTGTTTGAATACCATAAACTTAGCAACATACTCAATATTGAAGGACTGATTTTATTATTCATTGCAGGTTAGTTAGCTAAGTCTAAATAATCATTACCTGGTATTTTGTTATAGAAGAATATTCCTGCAGTTTTTAATACACAATGTAAAACAAACATTTTAGGAACCAAATGAACATGAAAATCTGTGGATTTTCCTAATTTTGTGAACTTCTCATTAGGATCCTTTGTTCACCAATACAGGATCTTTGGGTATCTGGTAATGTGCTGACCAACCACAATTTATTACTGCTGAAATTTACTATTTGCTCAATATTAATGTAGCTTGATTACCTTCAGTCAGTTTTGGTCATTGGTGATATTTACTTTTGAAGTTAAGCCTCGTTTAGTAACTGTTCAAAGCTCATGCTGTGACATTATAAAGGCTGGTAATGCAAGGCTGTGGTATTAAAACATTGGCAATAAAAAAAAACACAAAAAAAAAAAAAATAGAATTTGAAAAACAAGACGTGGAGCATTCTATCTCCAAAGGATAATGCTGCAGTTTCTTAGCAAATATAAAACCTATGAAATGAGCAAAAAAAATACCTGAAAAACAATTGATAAATTATGAACTACATAAATATATGTATGTATCTTAGTGTGTGTGTGTGTGTGTCAATTATCGAAATATAGAACAATATTAACATATTCACTTACACACAGAAATTCAATGCCAAATATGTAGATCTTAATCTATGTATCAATCACTTTTCTCAATTGTATCTGTTCTTTTCCAACTGAAGCAAACAAACACAGTGGGGCATAGCAAAAATTGTTTAAATAATTTATTATTACAGGAATTCACTGAGACACAAGAATTACTGAATTGTTTCCATGTAGATTACAGCTACCGTTGTTAGAACATGGAGTGTTACAACAGGAGTTCAGTCAGGTAAGATCTTGTGTTATTGTTCATCTTGGTGATAACTAACTGTGTATCTGCTTCATGTTGACATACAATGCATGCTTGACAACTGCTTTCTTATATAAACGTTACATTACTTCTATTTCTCTGTCATATTTGTAGGAAAACTAATACTAATTCTTTATTTTGTACTATTTTTGTAACTTTTTTTATTGTTCACTAATTGCTTTTTAAATATACATATGTTTTTTTTTATTCTGTTTAGCTTGAAGTATATTTTGGTGCCAATTTTCTTTGAAGATTTTGATAAATGTCAAGCATAATTGTTTCTCGTACCTTAAACGGAAAATATGAATATTTATCTAATACTATACACAAAAACTTTTAAAATAATAATCAAAGTAACATTTGTACTTTAATTCCAATAAAAATAAAATATTATAAAAATGATTTTAGGCCTTAAGAACAACTATAGTTTCACTAACAAAGTTTTCCAAAAATAGTGAAGTGTCACATTGTTCAGGACTACTCCATCTATAAAAGGTAGAGTGAACGATAAAAATCCTTGTTGTTGATAACCTACCGAATTTGGACAGTATCTCCTGATAAGTTCATTGATGGCAATGTCATTCTGGTGAAGCTTTGGACCAGTGTGGTACCATCCCACAATCCTCTCTCGAGCTAAAACAGTGATCACAAATGAAAATTATAGTTTTATATATATATATGATGAAAACTAAATAGCTATTTGAACAAGACATGTTTTTTAGAATGTTTCAGAATTATGAAAGGCTGTTCATTCTTTCTTGGAAATGACTGTGCACTTTTATTAAAGCTTATATTTTTTGTTTGTTACTATGTGTAGTTCTGCACATTTTCTGTTAGATTAAATCAATCTCAAGATTTTGGTCAGAGTTCAACATTAACTTTTTATATCACTAGACCAGTCAGACCATTTCTTTAAGAAATATAAAATATAAAGTGTACCTGTTGTGGAAACATAAATTGTTTTCAACTGAAATACTATTCAGTTATATTATGTGCCTTTTCGATCACAGTTGTGTTTCCTTGTTAGATTGTTTGAATTTATCAAATTACAAATATGAAAGTTTGCTCAAGACAGATAATACATCCTTTAGAAAAGTGCATGTAATGGATAAGACTATAGTCTTTCAGATGTTTAAGAACCAACTTGGCTCGGCTTTGAACATCCACTATCCCATTCATACCCTCTACAGTGTTCTCAACGTGAACAATAAACACCAAATACTGCCTTAAGAGGACATCAAGACATTGACTCAGATGTAGCATCCATCTGGTACCTTCCAAGTTCACAGTTGCTCCATCTGAACCAGTGGTAATTCGTTTTTCCTTCCAGTTCGACCTGCATTGTCCACACTGTCTGTTGCAGACTCTATTGCTGCCAAAACACCTTCAGCAGGAGCATGCTCCATATATTTTTCTTTACAAAGATATATTTTGCCACACCTTCCACCACAACCCGAGCATACACAATCTCATGTTCACAATTAGACTCTTTAGATGCACCATCAAACATTACAGATAACATCTGTGCATTTTTCAGTAAACTGTGTTTCTTGTTGGATATCTTTATATATGAACTGATCAGTCTGATAGCTATTTGGCAGTTCAACACCATTCTTAGATTGTAAATCAAGAAGGCTTGGGTACAAAGGAAAGGGCAATTTATTCTTAGCAATGAAGTAAAAAGTGTTAAAACAAGTAAGCAATTGTGCTTTCTGACAGCAACATCCAGACATCCAACTACTGCTGATTCCCTGGTACTAACACATGCACCTACACTCATTCCTGTTTCCACTTCTCCAGTATATGAACAAAGCACTGTGCTCGATTTCTTTTACATGCATTCCAAGTCATGGCTTCTTTGAGCTGATATATGTAATATACTTGCATCATGTTGTTTCAAAGAATCAATTATTCTAAGACTGTTCATTCCCATGACAAATCTACCCCCCCCCTTCTCAAACTTTCTACATGGAACACAATATATCAAATCTTCACTCTTGTTGTACTCTACCCATTTAAACTTATTTTACCACTTAGGATACAACATTCTTTTCCTTTTCATACTTTTTTTTTGGTTTCATCCCTTCTTTTGGTGTCTTCTCTTCTTTTCCTCTTTTCTCTTCCTCAACCTCCAAAGATTTGTTTGGAATTAAGCACAAAGCTACACAATGGGCTTTCTATTCTCTGCCCACCACAGGTATCGAAACCCTTTTTCTAGCATTGTAAGTCCACAGACATACCGCTGTGCCACTGGGGGGGGGGGGGTCCCTCCAAGAAAGTAAAACCAAATTTAAATAAGGATATTCATACTTTCACTTTGTGTCGTGAGGTAAACAGTCATAAAATGGTTGAGAATGTTGTAATAATTTTAATGTTCATTTAAATTCATATAATGGAATACTTTTCTTCATAATCTTCAAAAGAGATTAGAAAAAAACTTAATGAACTTTATATTCAATGTGCAAAGTGACAGCAAAAGTCTCCAAACTTATGTCTGAAGTGAATGATGAATTTAGGCAATGAACCTCAAAAATTTGTTTGTCTCTAACAATGGGCACATAACGTTATGTAACAATCATGTACTATCACAAGATCATTCCTATTTTTATTTTTCATTCGTTCAAATAAAAAATGGAAAAGAAATTGGGATTTTGTTTCTTTTGTATGGCACATTTATTGATAAGTTCAACCATTTCAAATTTAATGAAGCTTCAAAGTACATTTTATGTAATCGTTATAATTTTTAAGGTTAAACTGTCAACAATACAATACAATAAAATCATCAACTTTACTGTACATAATTGGAATCGGCCATCAGAATTGAGTTGATTGTGCACTATAATAACTGGCAATCGGTGATTTCCAACTATACACACATACATATATATATAGATAGCCATATGAATTTTTAAAGTTGTATAGATACAAACATACATGTAATATTCAATGCAAATATAAGACAATGTATCATAATATAATAAAATACATATACAAATAAGTATTTTAAATATTTCTTATAGTTGTTATATTCCCCCTTATTCTTCTCTGCTGGCCATAGTTAGGCCGGTCACGGTTTACCTGCAGCTGGCCAGATTTCCTCTTAGAGTGACATTCTGCACACTCTACAAGGTCAAAAACACGTCAATTAACAATTATGAATTCATTATATCAATATATCTTTTCCTACTCCATTTCTGATGGATTTTGGTTCATAACACTTCTACGATCCTCTTCTGCCATGATAACCCTAAAATCTGGTGGGTTGTCACTGCTGCATGCTTTATCTGAAACCAAATATTTTCTAAATGAAATATACAAATACAAAGCTATAAAATTTCTGTCTCACTTTCACCTAGAATCGCCATCACTTTTGCCATCTCCTGCTTGCACGATCATTGCCACTCCTTACAGCTACTCTATCTGCAGTATCTATAAAGTTTTCAATCACTCAGGATTGGCTATAGTTCAACACTTACCATCAGCCATTATTGTGACTGCTGATTCAATGCTCAAAACTGAGTTTGGTGCTATCTTTTAAAATATGGCTTAAAGATTTCTATTGCGAGACAGCCCCTAGATGTTTGTATAACATTTTAGACATTTGTGTAACAGGGCTGAAGTCGATCATGCAGTGGTAAAAAGAAAAGTAATCCTTTCAGCAGTGCTATGTCCAAAAGGGCAAGAACCCTATACATAAACAAATGATATGCAACATCAATACAGTTGCAACAATAAGTTAGTAAGTGGTATGGTATAAGTGTCATGCATGGCGTATGAACATTAAATTACATACACAGCCTGCACACAGATATATACATATGCACGTAGCAGATTATTAAACTCCATACAAGTCACAGCAATTGGGTGTAAACAGTTACACAGCCATTGTTATTTCCCAGGTAGTAAAACAAACTTAAAAACTACCCTACACAATACACAATGATGCATTTAGTAATACTGCTCAGGTTTTATTACAATACTCATAGCTGGCGGAATAATATTAAATAATAATATAAAAAAAAATAGACAATCCCTATTTTGAACCACTACATGTATTTAGACAATATTTATTATCCTAATTAACCCTTATTAATGGTGTAATAAAACTTATGTTCGTAAAATATTTCAAGTTTGTTTCGTTTTTACCAAGGCAGTACCTGTATTACTTACTAATGTTCAGGGGAAATGAGAAAACAGTTTACTAACCATTAACTTTTTTAAACATGCCATACATGTTCTCCAAGTAATCATGATCCAAGAACCAGACTGTTTTGTCTTTGTCATCTTCATCAAATGGCACTAGATAAAGAAAATAATAATATGATTAATCTATACCATAATAAATAATGTTTTTGTTCCTTTCAACTGAACAGAAGTAACCTTTTCATCAAATAAACATTATTTAAAAAAAAAAGAGGAAGGAAGTACAACAAGCTTGACCAGTTGAAACTAATCAGGTTTTTATGTTTTGATAATTCTTTAATCATTTGTGTTATTATTATATTGACATGTTATTAATGTTTTTTTAGGAATTTGCACAAAATATTTCTTTTTTAAACATTACTTTATATATCAATTTAATTGTAATACTATATTATAAAGCTTATTTTTATCTAGTATTTTCAGAATTCTGGATTTCGAGGAAAGAGTTTACATTTTTTTAGCATTCTTTTACAATTGATAAGCACTCACAACAGGAAAGATTTAAGTTATTTTACACTACTTAACTATGCTTTATGAGGAACTCATTAACCTTTAACAGTGAATTCTATTTCGAAATTAGAGTTGCAAGGAAATATAAAAAGATGAAGACCATAATTTCCAACATGGAACTTGTTAGACAAAATAATAAAAACTTCACCTTAGCAACACTGTTGTAAGAATAAATGTCATTATATATATGACTGAGTTAAATCATTCATCCAGTCTTGCTTCCATGCCATTTCTTGAATAACTATGTAAATAGTAACAATTTTCTTTAGAAGAAAAACAGCACCACACAATGGTAATGTTGTAAGCATACCCATTCAAATTAACTAAATATAATTTCGTTAGAAAAATGTTTCTGCTCTTCTACATATATCTGCTAAAACCCGCATGGAGAAGTTAGTAGTGAACATTGTCTTAATATGGTTCACTAATGTCCTAGCCAAAATAACTACTGCTATTTGGAAAGATATGCTCTCAAGTGCATTTAGACAGATATTATGTTGAACTTGCTTTAAACTAATTTCACATGCTCAGCCCATTAATGATGACTAGAAGTCTATAATCAAACTGGTAGCACTAATCCTTCCATGTGGTCCCTAAAACAATATTATAGGAATATAACTTTGATTCTGGGAAAGCCATTACAAGACAATGTTACTATCGAGCCAGAGATTAGTAGTACACGGCCTGTGGCAGGAAGGATTATCTACTAAAACAAAATGGTGACTGCTTAAAAATAAACTCTACTGAAAACCCTGGAATTTTTTAAAGATATCTTGTTATTCAGTAGCATTTTAACAAGCAGAAACTACAGATCTAGCTCCTACACATCCAGCAGGCAGAATGTAACCTTCTCCATAAAACTTACACAACAATTTTTCATAGCTGACATCTACATTTAGACCACATTCAACCTTCATTCCAAAATTGGGTGAGATGACTTTAATCAATGTCATTATTCTATAAACTTATTTACTAAGAGTAAGTTCCACTGCCAGCAGGCTTTCATTACATCAAATAAAACAGTTTAACATTCTTAGAAGGGTGGAAGCATGGTTTGCATATCCCAGTTCTTCTAAATTGTATTTTAAGAACTTACTAGTGAAATGGAGAATGTATAAGAATATATGTAAACCACATTATATCTGTTATATCGAGTGTCTACAAGGTTGTTATACTTATATACAGAGAATATACTGTATAGGCCTCACAGATTGTGCACATATAAATATGGCCATGCTGGATACAGTAAAATTACTACAAATTTGCTGCACAGGTTGTTTGTGATACTTTTTATAATCATAATAAGTGAATATTTATCAGCACCAACAGTATTTTTGTATGTCTGAGCATTTATAAATATCATGCTACAAATACTGATGCATGTTTAGTTCAGAATGCTGCAAATGGCCAATAACCGAGATTATTGATTCGTCCCTAGAGTTGGCAGCTTATAATAATAACTTCTGATCAGAGTAAGCTTTGTACTTACTGAAACTAACAATCAACCTGGCCATCAGTATAGATAATTAAATATATTTTTCTCACACTTCTATTTATAAAGAATGCATTATTTCATCAGTGAGTAGCTTTGCTGTTATTGATATTTTTGGCCATAATCCCAATAATAACTTATGAGGTTTTGCCAGCTTAGGATATTGAAGTTAGTCTTTAATACAAAATCTAAGATAATAATGCGAAACAATCTTTTTTTTAAACAAAGTATACTAATAAACAATAAAGAATAAAAAAGTAATTACATTTGATATACAAACTGGTATAACCAATACTGTTAATGAAAGCAACAATATATAAGCAATATAGTATAGTTAACTTACAGAACACACAAATAATAGTTCTTGTCTTGAACTGTTGTCATATAAGAATATTGCTTTGGAAATTGGAATCTTGCTCTTTCTAATATGTCACCTTATCAAAGAAAACTCATTATGACTATGTGTATAACATCAGAGGCTATTCCTTCTGTGACAATGGAAGTCATAAGTTTTAGCTTAAACTGTGTTGGGTTAGTAGAATAAACTTTCTCATGTCAAGAACAAAAATCAAAGTTTATGTATGTAAAGAATAAGAAATAAAATAGATGAAATAGCCATTATATTATAACATTGTTAAATGTAACAAAAAGAAAACAAGATAAACTTAATATGCAGTATGTATAAGAGCTTTTACCACCAGTCTTATTCAGATATCCCACGTAATAAACAATGTTTAATCTTGTGTAAAAGCCAAAAAAGAAATACAATAAACCTCTAGATAGATGAAAGTTCTATAAAACAACAATACATAGTAGGTAAAGATACACAAGGCATTAAAATGACAAAGTAATTACACAAACTAATCTAACTAATGATGTAATTTCAGACTATGTATAGAATTCTAATATAGCTAATACTTATCGTTTACTTGTTAGTGCATGGCTCTTTGAAGTATTTAATACTATTACTCCAATACACCATCAGACAGCATACATTTTCAGTGAAATTACTATAGAGTAAATTTCTTAAACTTTGTGACAAAAATCATATAAACTGCATATGTTTATTTCTCACATTTTCCATAATTTGTCCATTTCAGCTGCAAAATCAGAGGCAAATAAAAATATTATTTCAGATCTATCTTTTGTCTTACACAAGTCACTGCTTAAGGAGCATGCAGTTTACCTTACTTTTATCACATATTTTAGACCTGTTGGTTTCTACTACTTCGGCAGCTTTTTGCATTTAAACTGTAATTTTTGAAGCATATTTTTTAGCGGATTGGATGACAAGGTATAAATACATGTCCAAACATTAAATGTAAGATCTTTTAGTCCAACAGTTAAAATAATTTTGTTAATATCATGTCTTGCATCTAACAAAATACTTGATAAACTTGTAACATAACATTTAAGGACAACAAGAGAAATGTTGATTCATCGAGGCTGGTTCATCCTCTACACAAAAATCTAAGAAATAATAACAAAAACATCCTCAAAGCCAGCTCTTATCATTTGAATATTTATAAAGCTTCCCCTTAAACTCCCTTAAATTTACTGCATCCATCACATCTGTATATAAACCAATCCAAAAGTCAACTACCCTGTTAGATAAATAACACTCACTTGATTGAAGATTATTCCTATCCTGCCAAAATATATATCCATTTATTTCTGTCCCATTGTTCTACCATTCTCAACCATTAAGTATAAAAAAAATTATGCATGAATACTATCAACTCCCTTAAGAATATCAAACACCTCAATCAGATCCCCTCTAATGCTTCTTTTTTCAAAAGAAAATTTCAGAGATCTTAAGCTGTCCAAATAAAACAAATTTTTCATCCCAGGTATCATCCTAGTCATCCTCCTTTGAACCATTTCCAACTATTCAATGTCCTTTTTAAGATATGGAAGTTTCATTACCCTACAGCAGTGTTTTCCAAACACTATTTGGTGGGAGAGCCTATAAATAATGACAGAAGAAACAGAAGAGTTGGAGAGGACGATAACCTAACAAAACTTTCACTTTGCTCTTAAAGATTTTTTTTTCTTTGCTCTTGCATTTACTCACTCCTTACAAGCATTTTTTTATTTCAAAAAAATTATTAACAACAGGTAAAGAAAACGATGATTTTGCTGTTATCATTTACAAAAATATTTTCAGTGTGAAGGGGAGGATTCAATTAAAACTGTGTTGAGTTAAGGGGTGCCGCTATTTAAAGTTTGAAAAACCCCGTCCTACAGTATAAAATAAGAGGGTCCTTTATATGTTGTCACCTTAGGAACAAACAGATCTTACCATGCTAAAATGCATTTAAATTTATGTATTACTAGATCTTTATGAGGAACAGTAATGAATCATCATTACCATGATCATCAATTAGTTTGTCATCTTTGAATAGCTAAAACAATCTATTGAAAAGCAGAGTTTTGGGGCTGTAGTCAACAAGACATAAAACAATATATTTACTGTTGTCCTGTATACAAGACTCCTAAACCATCTCTAAACTTTGCTGTTTGTTAAATGATGCCTCTTGCTCCAATATATCCTGGGAAATTCCTTGGCCTTGAATTTGTTGGTCCATTACTATGCACTAAAAACGTTACCAATACAGCTGTGTATTTGTTGAATAATATTTTAACAAATGGGTAAAACTGCTAATATCTCTTATTCAATCCAAACACAGTAAATAGGATAATTATTTACCTCAATTAGCATTTGCTTTAAAAAGTTTTTAACTTTATGGGAGGGATTGGAAGCTTCTTCCTGATTTGTGGTGCCACTGATGCTGTTGAACATCAATTTAATACAAGACTTCCTTCGTGAAAACTTTGAGATTTCACCTTACAATTAGACAAAAACCAACAGAACAAGAACAATCAGAGATTGCATACCGTCGGGTCACTGCTCCTTTTCGAGATTGCTTGTGTTTATCTTGGATGAAGTCATATTTCACCTTCAAAAACTCAAAAAATCCTTCAGATCCAGATAATTTTTTAAAGTGTGATGAGGAGTCTCAACCTTAACTTGCCCATGAAATTTGGTACAAATCCGATTACACTTTAAAGAGTTATTAACCCGAAACAGTGA